AAGAAGCCACGTCTAACCTCCATCATCACCCCAAATTTGTAGCCTCCATTCGGTCTTCTATATAAGAGAGAGTTCGGGAAAAAATTCCGACCCAACTTGTAGCCTTATATTCATATCTTCAGTCCCTACAAATTCAGTATCAAGTAGTTCAGCAAAATTCCCTTAATTCTCCCATACCAACGCACGGCAAGATCAGGCATACACACGGGCGCGCACGCGAGGATCAACGGAGGTCGCGATCAGTTTGTATATTCCATCGAGCACTTGAGGAGGTAGAGTCATCTTAAATCTCTTTTCATGTTAATACGTCCATTTAAGGCTGAATTGTTTGAATCATGTTCACGAGTTTGTAGATATGTCGTGTTAAGGTTCGATTATGCTTAGTTAAATCGTGATCGAGTAACTTCTCGTTTTACCCGGCAACTCATGAACCATTTATGTTTAAATGATCAGTTTACTTCATTTTATATTCAGTTACTTGAGGATGATCGAAGTAAAACATTGTTTTAAGCCCTGAATTAGAGTATAGCCGTCGCCAGCGCACATCGTGCATGGCTACGGGCCGCCCCAAGTCATGTCATGTTAGTTTCAGTTATGGTTAAGTTCGTCCGTGTGAATTATGTCTTGATAGTCTCATAGTAATGTTTCATGTCTAATTGGTCTGGAGTTGCCGAGGGAAAAGATGATTCGGTCGAGAGATGGCTTATCAGCGTTGGCGGCGCACGGCGCGCTCGCCACGACCCATTCAGTTGATCGTGCGAAAGATTATGTTTTCCAGTTATTTCATTGATCATGTTCATGTTGAGTCAAATTATGTTCAGTGAAGTCAGAATGCTCGGGAGTTAGTGCCGAACGGCCGGCAAGGGTCGGCCGTAGGCCGTGCTGTCTGCACATAGCAGCAGCCACGCCCAGCAGTCACCCAGCACAGCAGGCAGTGTGCGGGTAGTCCAGGTAATGCGCGGCAGGTACTGCGTGTGATCCGTACCCGCTGCGAGTAGCCGTTAGCAGTGCGCCTGTGCACGCCAACGCCCAGCCAAGCGCACCAGCATGCGATAACGCACGCCAGCGCGCGATGTCGCGCGACAGCGGGCCGCATGGTGCCAGTCGCGTTGTCCAGTGCCTATGCGCGTCCAGTGGCACGTTGCGGTGCATGGCAGCACCCGAACTGTGCCAGACCAGAGGCAGCCGACGCACATAGCGTACGGCCGTGCCACAAGTCATGCCCTGATGGGCCTATCCCGTGTCTGTCGTGGTCAGGTGCACGCAGCATCCTCTGCCATGGCTAGGGCCAGCCCGGCAGCGGCCGTGCCCATGCCCAGTTCAGCACGCAGTCGCACCACGGCCATGGCAAGGCCGTGGACCGAGTCATCCGCCAGCCGACCGGTCCGAGCAGACCGGCGGTTCGGTCAGACCGGTTAAGACCAGTTAATACCGGTTTGACCCAAATAATGTTATTTTAATCCCGGTTCGCATTTTAAGTGCCATTTCAGTTAAATTTCCGGGATTATTTCAGTTCAGTAAGTTCATGTCCGATCAGTTCATGTCAGTTCAGTTCCGGTTATTCCGGTTAAGTCTAAATATCATGTCAGGTTCAGTAGAGCATCTTAACGAAATTAATCAGTTAAGTTAACAGTCTGAGCATATCATTAGTAATTGTTTATATTATATTTCAGTTTGATCAGGTTACGAGTATCAGCACTGCCTTTATTTTCACGGATCAGGTTGGGACTCAGACTAAGTACTACATTGATTATAATTATGGTACCATGTTTGAGGTATGTATTTCATGTCATGTATCCGCTTGGAATGGTCGGCGGTCCAT